TGGGGTGGCGGTGGTGGTAGAGTCGGTATGTTTTAAAATTGAGTCATGTCTGCGCTTGATGATGCTAATTGGTTCTGCTTAGCGTACGATGTCCATCTTTGGACAATTCCTATTGAGTATCGGTGCTCTCTTTACCTTTTCCTCGTCATTGTTGGTACTGCCCGCCTGCAGACTCGAATGCGACTCCTCAGTGTTCTCGGCATCTTCGTCTTTACATACTGGAACTCGAGATGGGACTTCTTGCTTTTCTTAGCTGGCATGGTCCTCGCGGAAAACGATTTGATCCGAGGTGCTCACGACCCTGTATTGCCCAAGGATGAGAACGAGAAGAGTACCTCTCGCAAGTGTACCACTTCATGGTTTTGGGATGCCCTCGCACTTCTCGGCCTGTACCTTCTCGGCCAGCCAGATGGCCGAGGTGAGATAACCCCTGGATGGATCTATCTGACTTCGCTTATTCCCACTTGGTGGGGTGCTGAGCCTTTCAGGTACTGGCAGGGAATCGGTGCAGTTGTCTTTATATATGCTGTGGCACATTCAGCGTTTTGGCAGCGATTCTTTAATTCTGGCGTCGTGCAATATTTCGGCAAGATCTCGTACGCCATTTATCTGATGCATGGTCCAGCGATGCACATCGTCGGGTATCACTTTGAAAATTGGGCGTACAGTGTCACGGGATTAGAAGGGTACCAGTACAACGCGGGTTTTATTCTGGGTGCTTGTTTTTGCATCCCAACCGTCATTTGGTGGGCCGACATCTTCTGGCGGGCCGTGGATATTCCCACAGTCAAGTTTGCCAAGTGGTTTGAGAGCAAGTGTGTCGTCAAAGCGTAAAGGACTGGTTCCTACGAGCGGAGGACAATAATCGTGGGCTATAAATGCGGTGAAAACGGGATGTCGATGCATGGGTGTATGGAGTTTTGATATTGGAATGGCCACTTGGCTCTAGAATCTAGCAGGAACGCTGTCTAGTTACACAACCAACTCTATGGTAAGAAACTCGGCAATGTGACGACCTCGCAAGCGTCAGTATGTATGTAATCACATCGAGCTGCTCGGTCGATGATGTCACGAAATAAATATCAGTTTCATCAAAACTCCTTTCATTATACAAAACTGAAGTGCATTGCCTTTTCACCTTGAAGAGCCCTGGAAGAAATTGTATATAGATGGTAGTGAAAAGACCTACCTGTGAGCTGATTTTGGAGTAGGAAGTCAGGGTAGGTTGGCATCATCACGCGAGTAGACACGCTTACCCGCAACCCAGGTCTCCTTGACCTTGAGAGTGCGCAGGTCTTCAAAGGACAGCCGATCCAGCGGCTCGTCCAGAACGACCCAGTCAGCAAAGGCACCCTCGCGGATCACGCCGGCCCTGGCCTCGAGAAACGCGGCGTAGGCCGGGCTGCGGGTGAACCCGAGGAGGGCCTCCCTCAGGGACAGGATCTCGTCAGGGAGGAAGCCCAGCTCCGGGTCGGCGGCGCTGGGACCTTGACCCGTGTGGGGGTTCCTGCGGGTGACGGCGGCGTAGATGCCCTCGAAGGGGTTCGGAGGCTCGACGGGGAAGTCGGAGCCGAGGGACGGGCGGGCGGGGAGGAGGGACCTCATGCGGTAGGCTGAGGAGCGGAGGCGGTCAAGCCCCAGGCGGTCCTGGGCGTACTTGAAGTCCGAGGTGGCGTGGGTGGGCTGGATGGAGGGGATGATGCCGAGTGCGAGGATGCGGTCCTGGTCGTCCGGGTGGATGATCTGGGCGTGCTCGATGCGGAAGCGGCGGAGGGACTGGCAGCGGGCGAGGTTGCGGTCTTCGGCGTGCTCGGGGCACTCCTGCTCGAGGGCTGCCTCGAGGGCGTCGACGGCGTTGCGGTTGGCGAGGTCCCCTATGGCGTGGATGTTGACCTGGTAGCCGGCGGCGGCCCAGGACTTGGCGACCTGGGTGAGGGCGGAGGCGTTGATGAGGAGGGAGCCCGAGGTCCAGGGGTGGTCCGTGTACGGGTCGAGCATGGCGCTTCCCCAGCTTCCGAGGGCCCCGTCTAATAAGGGGTATCGGAGGTCAGTAAACTCTAATTCAGGGCGGGATAGTTCTTGGAGGGGGAGGGGGAGGGGAGGGGAGGGAGGACTAACCGCCGAATAGCTTGACGCTGCGGACCGTGAATTTGAAGTCGGTGTCGTGGATCTGCACGGCTTCGTCCGGGCAGAAGGAGTTGCGCTTGTCGCATTCCAGCATGCCGTAGACGCGGACTGTCCAGTCGTCTGTCTTGGCCAGCTTCTGGTAGAGACGATGCGTGGAGGGTGTTGCTCCTGCATCGTGCATGCCGACGAGGCCGACCTCGTTGAGCTTGGCCATGGCGGTCTTGACGGTCCTGGCCTTGAACTCGTCGGTGGGCTTCGGCCAGAGTTTCGTGATGTAGTCCATGGCATTGTCGCAGAAGACGCCCATGCCCGGGTCACGGACGATTTCGCCTCCGGGGATCTCGGGGAGATCTGATGGGAGGAGGTCCAGCACGGACTGGGACACCCATACGCAGTGGACGTCGATGCGGTCGAGCATCAGGTACTTGCCCTTGAGGAGGGGATCTTGCTCGACATCGGCCTTGGATGGATGAGAAGGTCAGAAGAAGGTTCTGTGAGAAAAAAGGGAGATGAGAGGAAGAAATCGTTCAACATACAGCTGTTGGCATGCGGCCAAAGGCGGTTTGATCCCATCCAACACCTCTGAGCCAGTGATCCTTGGAACCGGCATCTGGGTTGGCATTGAGATACTCCTTGACCCTGGTACGAACATCCTCAAGAGACTCAGACCCAAAAAGGTCGACCGAATGGAGAAACTCGCCGTATTGAAGCAAGTGGCCGTGGCCGTCCCAGAGCCCGGGGATCACATATCCAGGGCTGGCGTGGACGTGGGCAGGGTCGAGGTCGGCTGCTTGGTCGTCGGTCAAGACATGGCTGAACGAGCCGTCAGCGACGGAGAAGCACCGGGCGTCGGGCCTATCATCGTCGAGGGTTGTGATGCCCTGGTAGCAGTACGTGTCCCCGGCCGACGATGCTGTCGTGGCACTGGAGGGTTGCGTGCCGACGAGAGGCTGCTGGAGTCGATAAGCGACGGCGAACGCGGCCACTATGGCGGCAATCAATGGCCACAGAGCCCACCGCAGCAGCGAGCCAGCCATTATGTGGGCGAGTCTGTCCCACGTGAGGACGGAGCGTCGCTGTTGCGTTCTATGTATGATCTGATTCTAGTGACAGTGCGGGCCACTTTCGCCGATTTGATTTGGCCTCCTACGGCTTGGCCTTTTTTATCCCTCTTCACCAATTTTCGTTCGTGGATAGATTTTTTTGTTATATTTTCCCTATCGCCCGTTTTCTGTGTCGTCTGGCGATAAGGCCGATATCGCTGACCGTCAATTGGAGATTGGGGAAAAGGTGTCTACGGCCTGCATCTGCATGGGATCGGCAGTTGGGTGAAGCTGCTGGAACAACCAGAGCCCCATTTATGATAGAGCCCTTATCTGACTGGCAGAGAATCAAAACAACCTCTGCCATTGATGCCACAAATATACGAGCTGCCTAAATGTTCAGCGATGATTGACTTCGGCCTTGCATCTTCTAGTTTACTGGGTCGGGCTGGTCTTTTCCCTTCAGTTTGAGCTACGGCGCCGATGTTGATGGACACTCTGCCGAAATGAAGAATAGTGAGACTGCGTTTCAGGCTTACATATACATCACCACGATAAACCGCTCGATGCGCTGTTTCTCGCAAACGCCTCGTAGGTTTGTGGTGCCTTTTCCAAGCGACCTAAGTGCAAACCTGCTGGCGATCTGGGAATCATACGCCAACCGTTCATCGCTACCAGGATGCGAATGGTCGATATGACGGAAGCAGGTCAACCATACCAGTTGTAAGAAAGCACTCTGAGGCGACATGCGACAAAGCCACCTTAAAAGACACAATTATGAAGAAAGCTCAAGGGTCATCCCGAAAGCTTAATAGAAGGTTCGCGCCTGAACCTTCGCAGCTGTAGTCTCAAAGCTACCCCAACCCACGTAACCTCTGGTGGACAAACAAGCTAGAGCAAATGGTCTGTTCGAACAGCTTCAACATCAACCCTGAGATTCCATCCAGGTGATAGGAATCGGAACAGTATCCCCCTTCAGGTAACGCAGTGACCTACGGGTAAAATTGCGTATGTCATAGTTCAAACATTTTGCTGCTGCTGCTGTCGCTGCCTTGTGGGTGCGAAGCCAGCTGATGACCAGAGCTCTCTCTCCAGGCCTGTTTTCACATTCGGCCAGTGCTCAGCTCCCAAAGGAACTATGTCATCCCGAGAAAGCGTGGATTCCCAACGTAGCTGTCCAAATGATCACCAACTTAGTAATCTCTGGATTCTCTTGGACATGGCTAGGTATTCTCCTGAGGAGTTTAGAATCGCTCAGCCCTGTGAGCGGGAAGAACCCCCATATGACGATAATCAGAGTCATTGACTGCGCAGGACCCTGCATTGTTCAAGGACCCTGCGCCGGCTTCAAAGGGGCAGAATCGAAGTGGCGAAAAAATCGCCGATAGAGATGACAAGGATGGCGGGTGTCAGCCAATCACCACCCGAGCAATGACGTCCCCATGGACCCTTGTTCAACAACCCACTTCCAAGTTCTTGGACTTGTTCTTGGAGGAACTGCGCGAACGATCGGCGGCTAGTGGCATCATAGCATCTGGATCTGCACAATCTGCCTGGACCCTGTGCTCTGCCAACATGAACCCTTGGTCGCGATGGCATCATTGGTGACGAACATGCTTCCTTTGATAGAGGCTGCAATGGATGAATCACCTCCATCCATCAAGTATATAATGATCTCGAATTCTCGCTCTCTTAACTCAAAAAACATTATCAACAACATCACAAACAACTTGACTTGAATACCACAACAACTCAACAACTCCACAACTTTACCGTCAACCTTGACAACCAAACATCTTTAAGAAAATCACCAACAACAAGACCATCATCATGCCTTTCACATACCGTCGTCGTGCTCGTGTCACCCCACGAACCACCACCACCACAACTCGCCCCCGTCGCAGCATCTTCCCTCGACGCCGAGTTGCCCATACTCACCACACAACTCACACAACGCACACCACGCACGCACCAGTGCACCACCAGAAGCGCCGCCCATCCTTCAAGGATAAGGTCAGCGGCGCCATGCTGAGATTGAAGGGCTCTCTCACGCACCGCCCAGCTGTCAAGGTACGTTCATCTATTCCAGCTCACCACAATTCCAATACTAACTAAAATCTCAGGCTGCTGGCACTCGAAGAATGCATGGCACGGACGGACGCGGCTCGCACCGCCCCCGCCGCAGAATGTTCTAATTTCGACATGGAGTGGAATAATCTTGCAAAGCACTATTGTTTGAATGAATGAATTTTGAATGGAACGGCCTGCATCATGAATAATGAGAGATATATACATGCTAGCATTTCAATATGAGCACTATGTTTTGAAACGTTTTATATTGCCAAATGTAATGAAGTCTGGACTAGAAATTAATCTTGGGCTATGACAGCGAATATGCAACATCTAGTGGTAGAGAGACTACCCTGATTTCGCTTTGTGGATGTTAATATTTACCGCCCTGATATCGAAGGTTGAGACTGAGAAGTAAGATCTTATGAAGGGGTAGACATATACTTTGTCCACGCAAGGCTCCCGTAAATGTGGTGTAATGTCTTCGACCCATTATCGTAGCTCGTCTGGGTCGTCAGCACTATCATCATGAGGTCGAAAAGTACGAAAAGATCTCGTAGCGATGCGATGATGTTCTGTAACTCCGCTAGATCGTGTGGACCCAAATCTATATGTACCTCTAGGCAAGTGACAGGGGGATGCTTTCATGCTCCCCTTCGGATCGGGTCTCCGTTCGAGTGGTAAGGTCAAGCACCTACGGGGCAATTGATTCTTTTCTCGTGAGGTAAGAGGGTGTGTTGTATAAGAAAGCATGTCGGCCAGCTCATCAAGATCCCGGTCGCCGGCACCAGATATTTTGAGGGTTGTGTATTCTTCAAGCGCCGTCTTAAGACGCTCAAGGTACTCCTTGTTGGGGGATGGGTGCTTCTTTACTCGCCTACATTCAGTTGGAGGCTTGAGGTAGTGGCCGAATGGAAGGGTTTGAGGCGTATTCAAAAACTCGTCTTGAGATTCGTTGTCGACAGCTAATGTTGAGCTCTTGGCAACTTCCCCGTAGTTGACAGCATAATTTGTGGCACTATGTCGATGTTTGCTTAAAAAGAACCCAAATTCGCCGGACCGTATTCTGCTATCGACGGATCGGGTGGCTCGTCTGTGCTGAATCAGGATTCGGGGAGTTGAAGACCCATCAGGTCTGATGCTCAGGACCCTATCCTCGAGATCTAAATCAAACCTGGGTTCAGCACCAAAGGGACCGGAAGACCTTGCGATCAGCTTCCAGGTTCTGTCACCAGAAGTATTGAAGGGTTCGCTTTCAACGGTAGAAGGCGTAGAACAAATCTCGCTGCCTGGCCGTGGCCTATTCAAGAACGATCTTTTGCTGCAGGCGACTGGGCGGCGGCTGACCTCAATACCAGCGAGCTTCCTGGCCTTTTCGTTCTTCCCGATGTTGATGCCCTCATTTTTCCGAATGTCTATGGATCTAATCGTAAATTGTGTGTCTCGGGATGTAACTTGGATCGATGTTGCAGCGTCCGAGCCTACTTAGTTAGCAAATCTTGGTTGTGAAGTGGTCAATTGGGGTCTTCCTACCTATGTGGCCACTCTCAAAGCCTGGAGACTTCGTGTTCAGGCGATCCCAAGCACTCGAAACCTTCGACAAAACTTTGGAAGTGAGTGCTCGTGGCGTTTTTGAGTTCATTGGGCTTGTCAGCTGGCCTGCGCCAGGCTTCAAAGCTTCCGTAGCCGCGAGCATCGCACTTATTTTTTCGTTGATCTCCTCAGGTCTATGAACGTCGCTTTCCATTTTGTTTTGCCACCCAATGATAGTTGGAGTGGAGAGAAATGAAGCTTAATCGCAGAAATGAAGAATCGAGACTATTTGCTTGAGCTGAAGCGACATGCCTTGATTGTCGGGTTGCGTCTAGTTGGCGTTGATGTTGGAATCATGTACTCGGTGCTGATCGTGAATCTCGAGATCTGTAATTTCGACGGGTTGTGGGTTCGGAACTTTATGATGAGGAGAGTGAACTAGCACGGGAAGGTGACCTAAAAGCCCCTGTAATCCGTTGTGCCGTTGCGAATCGATGAAAATCACCAAACGGCGAGCTCTTGCAGGGTGAAACGAGTGTGAAGTTCTTTCCACATGGCCATCGTGTGAGAAAATCAGACGGCTCTAGGCAGAAGAGCCTCAGGGAGCGATATCGGGGCTGAGAAACCGGATGCACCTCAATCTTTTTTGAAGACTGTAAGCTGCCCGAGTTCCGATAAAGAAAGAAAAATGCCGTTTTTAAGAAAGGACGATCGTGACAGAAGGCAGGCGCTCTGCGTGCCTACCTGGGCACTAAGGTAGGTAAGGAGCTACCTACTCGCACTTACCTGGGAAGTCACTTCGGCACCAAAGACACGTAGGTGAGGTAGCACGCGCCAAAGTGCTCTCAAGTTACCATGGAACTTTTTACTCACTGTAACGCTGTCCTGATGGTATGTAGACCTCAGAGGCAACCTCCCTAGGCACCTAAATGAACCGAAGGTGAAGAGAGTGAGCATTAACAAAAGGTTGAAGCGTCCACTTCCCGTAACTACTACTTTCTTATTGGGAAAGAAATATTCTCGCAAGTTTTGCTAATGAAATCTGCCTAAAAGGACGTTTTTCGATCTGAAGAAAGATTCGCCATGGGAAAATCAAGATATCTGCCTACAACGTACCCAGTCAGATTTCTATGAGTGCAGACCTGCTACCCATAAGCTGGGAGTTCCCATGATACCATAGCGCGCATAAATAGTTTTGACCTTTATATCAAATGTTTCTCTCTGCCATATAGTTCGTAAAACCATAGCGAGGGTCTGGGATATATCAATATCTCTCATTTTCACTCTTTCGCCTATATCTAGTCCCATGAAGGGAGGGGAAGAAATCACTTAGCACACGTCTCCAACTCACCCTTTACCGCTACGAATGAGCTGGCTGGCTCACTTCTACGAGTCTACAGATGGTACATCAGTTGCCAGTGGCTGTGAACCTCTCCTCTGTTGTCGTTCTTGGTTGATGTCAACGCGCTATCGACTTTCAGGACTAAGAGGGGTGTTGAACAACCCTCGGCATCCTCCTCTTTTCAGGGGCAAAAGCATAATGAGCGGGATGGCCGAATGCGCAGCCTCAAGCTCGGGAAGTCCCGATACCGACTTGTGGAATTCCTTGATACGAAAAGGTTCAGTGTTAGTCGAGCGCGGTTGGTATGCAGGAGACGGGTTTGCCGTATATGCAGCATGCCAGGCTGGGCCCTAGGAAACAGCTGCGCCAGCGACCCCACCATATTGGATTGAGTTGACGGGGAGTTACATTACAGTCATCCTGTGCAAGCTCCGATGCATCCATGTCACTTTCGCCGACGCTCTCCCGGGGTTTAATGAACAAATTATCGGTGCGTTGTAGCTTTAATCATGACGAGATAGCAAATCTTGGATATTCTCCCACGGGACCCAAGTGTTAACATTGGGATGTCAACGGGTTTGCAATAGTGACCCAGCTAATCCAAGATCGTGGAGAGCCTAAAAATTGAGGCACTAACGGTGGAAGCTGCCAGCAACAAATTTCATAGTCCCGCAAACTCCGGCGGCGAGATCCCAACGGCTTTAATTTACAGACGGGGGACAAATGATCTGATAACCAATTTACTCCACGATTACTTATTTCCTTCTAATATTCATATTCTGATTCAATTGAACGCACTCTCCCTTGCGCAATAGGATATTCGGACATCGGCGCGACAGCTCGTTCAATTGCAATCGACTCTCGCCTCCGTCATGTCTCGAGCCTGGATAGAAGCTCTGCCTCGGCCGTTGCGATCGCTGAGGCAGCCGCCAACGGCCTGGGAGCCTACCTGGAAGAGGTGGTCGAGCTCACAGTCGTCGCCAGTTTCCTCACATGTCGCTGCGAGGGCATCCAGAGGCGCAGCGAACCGAGTACACATGCTGCCTGGGAGGCAAGCCCTCTTCACACCCAACATCGCACTGCGGCAGGCACCACGACGCGGATTTCGACTCACTTCGTGGCGGAGGAGTGCGGGGAGTGCGGCCGAGGTCAAGGAGAGCCTTTCCCTGTCTGACCGCTTCAAGAAGCTCACGAGGGAATATGGCAGAGCGGCGGTCGGGGTCTACTTTTTACTGAGCATCTTGGATATGCCCTTCTTCTTCCTGCTTGTTCAAGCTGTGGGAACAGAAAAGATTGGTAATTTTTCTGAGCCTTGGATCGCTCCTGGGAAGAAAAAAGCAAATAACTAATCTTGAGCGCAATAGCCTACGTGGAGCACAAGGTGGTGTCCGCGATAACTACATTTATTCCAGAATCCGTCCAGCAAAGCTTCTCCAGCGCCTGGTCTGCCGTCAAGGGCATCTTCAAGGGCAAGAAAGACGCAGCATCGGAGGCCCCGGTAGAAGGATGGGGTGTTGAGGAAGCTCAGGAGCGGGCCAGCCACAACGCCAGTCAGTCTTCCCCAGTCCGCCCTCATCAACACTGCGAGCAAGGAATGATGTAGAGAGGTTACTGACTCTAAGACATGTACAGGTTTGGCAACGCAGCTTGCGCTTGCATACGCCATCCACAAGAGCTTCATCTTTGTACGGATTCCGTTGACCGTTGCGGTCACGCCCCGCATCGTCAAACAGCTTCGAGCCTGGGGTTGGAACATCGGCAAGAAGCTTGTGAAGGCTAAGCGGTAACCAACGTTTGCATTGGGGCCCACGAGTATCCTAACTCATCCAACACAACTCAGCTCTGGAAAAACACAAGGAGGGGTTTCACCTCGAAGGCAAGTCATAATTCGTCATGTACAAATGTAAAACAACTTGTATATTCCCACACGACTTAAATTTAGAACTGTAATCATATAGAAAAAAGAAAATAACGTCAAAGCATGTCATGATATCATACCTTTCCCCTTGTTCGCTAAGTAACCAGCAACCGGCTCCGATGGATGTCATCTTTCGGGTGCTCTCCTACCATAAAACAGTCATCAAAGTCCCTGCAATGCGTGACATCTATTGACGATGCCAGGTGGTATGAGAATTCGCCACCATATCTGGGAGTTCGGCACATGTACGAATCACACGAACACCCGTCATCCTGGGCTGACCCGGCTGAATTGCAATATTGATTGGAGAAACCAATCAGCCTGATCCGGCAACTAGAAGCATCCCGGAAATGACACAGCTGTCGTCATCTGACGGGCCTTTTATATTAAAGGCTCCCAGTCCCATGGAGGCTGATCAGATTCCCTATCTCACTTCATTACCACCCTACTTCAGATACTCTGGCATTTGCTCTCTGGCTGATCCCCCGAGAACTTCGCCGATGCCTTCCGGTAAAGGAAACGTTGGAAAACCGAAGCGGGCCGTTTTCCCAAGAATGTCCAGGGGAAGAATGAACGCTGATCATAGACGGGGGAAAGGAAAGGAGAGGAAAGAGGCGGAGGATCGAAATGTCCAACCGTGACAAACCTTGGATGGCCGACTGGTGCGGAATGACCTACAATAGGCTACGAAGTGCGTCGAGCAACATGATGTGTCACCTACCAGCAGGGACGTAAGCCGCAATTGAGTTGACATATCATCCAAAGAGAGAGGGAAAAAAAACCGAGGAATGGCAATGATAGGATCATTTCCGGGAGGAACAATTGTTTATGCCGCGGATGATGCGGATGAGCCTTGGACGCGACGACAAAGCTTTCCAAATGCTGCCCAACCGCGCCATTGGGAGACTGGAAGAATGGATAAGTTGATTACTATCCAGAATCCAAATAGAGTTCCACGAGGCAGTGACCACCGCAAAGCCCCAGTTTGGGAAATGAGGTGGCTTCCCCCTCCTCCTCTCTGTGGAGGGAGCCGATCCACATGTGGGTGTTAACCAAATCCTTGGGTGTTCCCTGCAAACTCTATGGGCGGTTACAATGGGGTCGGTCTCTCAGCCCAGGCCTCGCCCAGCTCAGCGCTGCCTCGGACGGTGTGTTATATCCAGTTGGCAAATTCGTCTTCCCATCGTCCAGGCGTTAGCAGGCACCTGTCAGGGCTGCTAAAGGGTTTATTTGTTTTTAGCACACACAGACTATTCGCACGTACATTAGTCGTAGGTTATGCATGGGAGCGGGACCCAACTCCTCGGTCCGGGCCCGTCTGGTTGTCTTGGGCTGCTGGACCAACCAGACATGCCGCTGTCAGCGAGTGGCCGGTAAATCCGTAGTGCTATGCGGCATGCCGGTGCGGTTTCCTGATGATGCACAGGCGGCCTGCCCCCGATTGAGGTGACATGTAGCTGCTACGAGACGGCTAGCGCAGCTATTTCGATCGCTCCAAGAATAGGCAAGGCAGCGAAGGCGTCGGCATGACTGCTTGGGCCGGATGATACGTGACTCGGCAGGACCCAAGTGATAGGCCGGGCTGTCTGCGTACACGAGCAACAGAGTTTCTTACACCGGCGCTGGCACAGTCCAACGTCGAGCTGGCCAACGCCCAACACCGTCACTGCGTCGGGGGTCTTCCGGTTAGTTAGCAGCCAAGGCGTGGCGCGTGGGGGTGGTGCCCACGGAAGGCCCTGTAGGATGGACCTTCCTCCCCACTGCCTTGGGCTCGCTGGCCATCGCTAGAGGGACGAGCCTCGCTCCTGCTCCACACACACCCTCCTCTCGTCTGCCTGCGCATCGCGTCCATCTTGTCCATCGCCAGGCCGTATCCTCATGCGCCGTCGTTGGCAGAGCTTGCGTCCAACGACCTCCGATCCCGATCTCTCTTCCAAGCCGACTGTTCCTTGTTCTTCCGCTCCAAAGCAACGTTGCGGAAATACAGGCAGCTTGCAGCAAGGGACCTGATACACCGCCAAGGGAGACGGTAGATCGAGCTGCGCAGGAGTCCTGCACCTGTAAACCTTAAACGAGGCTATTATTTTTTTATTCCCTCTCGTTTGGAAATTTCTAGCCTAGAGGGGTCCTGTTCCACCGTTCGACACGTCGGTATATCGACTGCCACGACACAGCAAACCTAGACCGCTCTTTTCATGCCATGACCTCGCGTCCAGTGCCGAGTAAGTACCTACTTTTCGTCAAGGGCTCGCCAATTCAAGCGGACCGCAAGACGCGACTCTTGCGAACCTCCCGCCTACATGCTTCCGAGTCGTCCCTCAAGCTGAGGGGCGTGGGGACGAGACTCGAGATGGGAAAACCCTAATACATAGCCATGCTCGGTGAATTACTCACACACCTGTCTATTAACCTTTACCGCTCGGTTTTGTCTTTCTGTCAGTCTGGGTCTACTTTGTCCCTTGGCTATACCCCTTCCACACGCCGCCACACCAAGGGAAACATACGTACCACGTGTGTGGGCTGGGCACAATGACTCCTCTGGAATGCTGCTCGTCTCCGGGAGTTTGGTTCTGGGTCAGCTGGCGCGGATCATCGCCTTCCACTTTCTAGGCCTGATGTTGCGACAACCCTTTCAGCCGTGGCTTTGGAGGCCTGTTGTGTAGGCCCGGATGCAGCCCTGGCATTACGCAGGCGTGACTGAGGCTGCCGAATCTTGCAGGGTTGCAACGATGTAGTATCTAATTAGACTTTGCGCCGGGTCCGACTCGTCAATTCAGTTCCAGGACGGAGCACAAAACGTCAGCGGTTGGTCGGAGATGTTGACAACCCGGGTGCTGACTGGACGGCCACCATCCATGGCCACCCCCCACCTGCCCTTCAACCCCAGTCTTATGATGCATTATTGCTGGCTTTCTGAACGCGTGTGACACGCTTGTGACCTGACTTGTCCGCAAGTAAACAAGGATTATCTGACCCTTTGTGGCATATCGACCTCACATTGACCTGGTAGGGCTGCACTTGGGGGTGGCAAGACTTTCCTTTTTTGACCCTTATCTAGAGGCGAGGGGCGTCGCTATTTCCTGCTCGGTTGCTATTCTCCCAAAGAAAGGTTTATTCCACTTCATTCGGACTTGCTTTTCTTGCAGACATTTCGGGAGAATACATGGCAAACCTTCACATCACAGTCTGTTTGATTCGTTGGGATCTACTAGTGAGGATATTTAAGCTTTACTCAATTTTTCAGAGCGTTGAATGCTGCATGAGACAAGTCGCAGGTGGCGTCCAACGTCTGAAACCGAAACGGTCGTACTGGGTGAAGAGCCAAACGTTGCTTGGAAGAGGACGTGGCCGCCAAGACGAGATATTTGGACGAAGCATCACACGATTCGCCGGCCGGGGCTGTTTGTGTGAATAGCAGGGGCTGATATGATGACGGCAGGCGGCAGGCTCGGCAATGCGCAATGCCACCTCCACAGATCTGGCACGGTAGGAGTGGAAATTCCACCTCTCTTCCAGAAAGCCGGAGATCCAAAGCCGGGTAGGGGTAACTGTGCGGGTGGGGAGAGAGGCAGCCAGAGCACAGTTACGAGGTGGGGAGGCTGTCGCTTTCTCCTATGCTCCTCGGTAAGTGTACTCCCTGGCATCACGGAATCTTATTTTCGGGCAAATCGGGCTTCGTATCGAGAGATGGCCAGAAAGGGCGGTACAGACACCAGGAGAAGAGCAAAGGCCCTGCTTAGACTGTACAAACCTAGCCAGCTGTGTCCTACTTGGGACGTAGGTGTCAACTAACAGACAGCCACCGAGTCATAATCTCGGATCTCCTCGTGGGTGCGCCACTCCGCCAGAGGCCCAGAGGACAGGCAATGACCGTAATCCATTCATTCCTCGGATCAAGTAGTTGGCGGGCTGGAGCCTATTGGGACGTTGTGGGCCGATGCCCCGAAAAATCGCGAAGGTTTGTTCCGAGACAGCAGTTAGACTTTCTACACAGCCTAGCTCACGCACGCCCAGACGCATACCATAGAGGCCTTTCCGGCAAACAGGCGCGTGATGCGCCAATATGCGCTGCGGGACAGTTTAGCCAATGGCTCGGTTGGCCATTGTCCGGCTGGGCGTTACGACTTGTTCGTTGTCTGGCCTGGCTGGTCTTTTGCTTCCTTGGGGGAGGAGGGGGGTGTGTGTCCAAGTGCTGGTTCGTCTGTCTCATACCATCACCCTCCTCCATGTACGGCCAGTTGCCCGCCTGGACCCCTCCTCCACCATGGCTTCCCTTCCTTTCCCTTTCCTTTTCCCCTTTGCTGCCGGGAGCTAGCCTCAGTTGGCCGCGGTTGTACGTTTGCCTTGCATGGTGATTAACTCGAATCATGTACCACAGCCAGCAGCCACCCCCTCCACTTGGGCGTTCGCTCAGCCCGGCGTGACTCTGCTGCCGAGCCACATCGCCAGAGCCGTGGGCTGGACGTGTAACCTCTCGGCAGGGTCCTTCTCCTTCGTATGGCGTCGTCTGAAGGCGGGCCTGGGCCCGTGGTCGCCTGCGCTACTCGACTCGGAGCCGGGCCACCAAAAAGACTGTTTCCAAAGGGATGGGATGTATAAGAGCCATGTCCCGTCGCTCCCTCGCCCTCGGATGGGGAGGCCCTGAAACATCGTTGCATCTGTGCCTGGATTGGACCGTACAGAATCACTTACCGCCACTTCTGCCATTATCATACCGTATTACAGCATCTTCTCTGCTCGTCCCACCGAAGCCCCCCTACCACCACCCCAAGGCCATCGTGGCTGCAGCCGACCAGAAGCACCGTTCGCTCTAAAAATCCACCCCAAGAGGATCATCTGCCAAGCTCTTTAATTGCAGACCAGGACCCC